TATATATATATATATATATATGTATATATATATGTGTGTGTGTGTGTGTGTGTGTATATATATATATATATATATAGTGTTCTCCACATGGCTGAGCATTCAGTTATTGCCTCCAATCCACCACCCCCCCCCTCCCAAATTATTTGGGTTAAGCCTAAAATTAATAAACAAGTTCCCCCATATATATTACAGCTAGCAGCTGTGTGCCAAATTTTATATAGGCCATTACGTGTATATGAAGAGCCCATAGAGTCTGTCCTATGTTTTGTGATATACTAGGGTTAGCCAAGTACACATGTCCCCCAATGTAGCACTCATTCATCTCAATCGCATACAAACATGATATCCTGACATCTCGCCCAGCATTTACCAGTCACACATATCCGTGCAAAAGTACTCACATTTTGCACAGTACCAATATAAAACAAAAAACAACAACCATGATTCAGCATCCAGTAGCCATATATCCACCAAATAAAACCTACAAATTAGCCGACCGTCTCTAATGGCATTATGGCACCCACGTACCGACCATCGACTTATCACAACACTTAGAGCTTCCATCAGCCACCTAATCATTTATCAGTTCCTTTCACCATGTTCATGGTTTATCTGTGCTTATTTAGCTCATTGTGTTAGCTGTAGCTGTTCAGGATAGTACATTTTATTGTACTACTGCATGGTCCCCACAGTGGTGGAAATGTATCTGCTGTTGTTCCCATTCTAGCGTCCTGGCTCTAGTATTTTGCTTAGATCATGTATTTATTTTCCTCATTTTTAAATTTATTTTTAATCTCCTGTACAGGCTGCCTTAAACATGCTCTCACGATGTCAAGCAGTAGGATACAAAGAAGATGGAATTATCACCATTGCTATACACCCTGGTTGGGTTCAGACAGATATGGGAGGAAATCAGGTATCTGTAATAAATATATATTTATCTCTCTCTCAAACACAGTTTGAAGTGATTTCCAATTTTGTTATAGAAGGGGGAGGGGGAATTCCTTCTTGACTACAAAATGGCAGTGAGCTTTATCCTTGGGTCAATGAGCGGTTACCGCACAAATGAACTATTCTATTGTTAAATATTGCTTTTCCAAAAGAGCATCCAGATGTCATTTAAAAATATGCACACAATTTAATAACTCTACTCTGTCCAGAAAATTCCACATCTTTACCCCATTTTTATCCTTTCCTGTGCGGTAGGTAAGCTTTCACATTTTAAAAAACCAGGAAGTAAAATGACCTGTTGTCTGGTTTAAAAGCCAGAGGAGTGTGACTAGTATATTTTAAAAAGTGTCAGTTCCTATTGAATTCTGCACTTTTTGCAAAATGAAAAAAATAAAACACACTTTTCACACACACAGCTTTTCAGAAAGTTAAAGTTGTTTACGTGTCTGTAGGGGGACCTTTGAATACACTATACTGTGCAAGCATTGTTGAATACCAAAACTCATGGTAATCTCATTCTTCTGGTTTTAAGTCTAAGTAGGAAACTTATTACCCTTTCTGCACGCTCGGATTAATGAATAGCTTACCACTACTGTTTGTACTGATCCTGTACATATTTGTATGTTATCATAGTCCCTTCTGAAATATATTTTTCTATAATAAAACACATTTTCAAAAGTAGAATACCTGTATTCCTAACGCTTTAGAATCCCTGTCACTAGGGATCGACCGATATTGATTTTTTAGAGCCGATACCGATACCGATATTCTGTGAACTTTCAGGCCGATAGCCGATATAATTTGCCGATATTCTGTACATTTACCATTTTGGAAAATAAAAACTATTTCTAAAGGTAAATGCACAAAATATACATGCCACGTGTAGTGGATGCAGTGTGACAGGGGAGCTGTGTGTGTGTGTGTAGTGGATGCAGTGTGTGTCTTTGTGTAGTGTGTGTGTGTAGTGGATGCAGTGTGTGTTTGTGTAGTGTGTGGGTTGTGGATGCAGTGTGTGTGTGTGTCAGTGTGTGTTTGTGTAGTGTGTGTGGAGGATGCAATGTGTGTTTGTGTAGTGGATGCAGTGTGTATTAGTGTAGTGTGTATATAATGAAAGCAGAGTGTTTGTGTAGTGTGTGGGTAGTGTGCGTAAAGTGAATGCTGTATATACTAAATGCAAAGTGTGTGTGTGTATATAATGAATGCAGAGTGTGTGTGTATTTGTGTAGTGTGTGTGTATAGTGAATGTAGTGTGTGTTTGTATAGTGTGTGTATATAATGCAGTGTGTTTGTGTAGTGTGCATTATATAAACACACTACGCAAATACACTGCATTATATACACACACTATGCAAACACACTGCATTATATACACACACTACACACACAAACACTGCATTATATAAACACTACACAAACACACACACTGCATTATATACACACACTGCACAAACACACACTGAATTATATATACACACACACTACACAAATACACTGCATTATATACACACACTACACAAATACACTGCATTATATACACACACTACACAAATACACTGCATTATA